GAAAGACGAGACTAGATATGGAAACCTTAGAGGCAGGAGATCCCGATTAAGTATATACGAACAAAATCGGAAGTTACGTTATTTCAATTAAACAATTATTCCCTGAAAGGTGTTGATAGATGATTAGTACGATTCTATAGTTAAAGGAAAAGTATGATGTACTGTACAGGGGCAAACCACTACTAATTTGAGGTGAAGAGCATATAAGTGAAATTTAATAATATACAGGATGATTCAAAAGTCAGAAATTTTAAAAAATTAATAACTCACAAACTATTTACAGTAAGATGATGCATTTTCACAGAAATGCTTAGAAAGAAGTGGGATTTTTTTATGTGTGATAAAAATGTTAGTACCAAAATAGTTATATTTCTTGCCATAGATGGCACTTGATAAGATTACATAATTTGTGTAGTTGTTACTAGAGCTTACACTAAGAGAACATTTTTGTTTTTTTATTTTTATTTTAACAAATTTACAAATGCTACAGCGCCATCTATGGCAAGAAATGTAACTATTTTGGTACTAAAATTTTTATTACACTTAAAAAAATCCCACTTCTTTCTAAGCATTTCTGTGAAAATGGCATCATCTTACTGTAAATAGTTTATGATTTATTAATTTTTTAAAATTTCTGTGACTTGAATCTCCCTGTATATATAATTCTAAAAGTAATTTAAAATATCAAAGCAAAAATATAAAATTGAAATTCAGATGTTAATAAAAAAAATAGAAAAATGTGTCAAAAAATGTAATAAATGTAAAATCTGATTTTAAAATTTAGAAAATATTTAATAAGAAATGAGTAAACATTATTTTGCAAAGATTGTCATTTTCAACATCCAAAATTCATATAAATTTATCTATATTACTAAAGTAATTACTAAAAAAAATTCATTATCAATTATGTAAAAAAATTTGAAAATGAATCAATTATATGGAAGAAGGGCATATGCCTAAAATGCATATCAGTGTGTAAGATATTCCTGAATAAAGAGTAATGTTGAAGATGTCCAGTGTCTACCTGTGCACTCACAGTTGTGAAGTAAAGAAGAATCAAATATACATAACTCAACCAAACATTAATTCCTGAATTAGAGAAATTGTTGGAAAATAGCTTGAAAAGTATTTGAGGTTAAAACTCATTGTCAGCTCATGCAATGTAAAAAACACCAAAATTTCAGAATATTCTAACCTATTAGGAATGTTACCAAAACATTAAAATTATCGTAAAATTTAATGCTTATATTTTTGAACCATAGAGTTTTTTTGCACTGTTAGAAATAAAACAACAAAACAAAAAAAATTTTTGTTCTTCTTAACATAATATAATATTATTATATTATGTTATTAATTTGAAATGCAAAAATTATAGATTGAATTTTTTTTAAGCAAGAGATCATAACCATGGAACACATGTTTACCAGCTGATTCTACTTTCTTGTTTACCAGATGACTTTTAAAGATTGCAATAAAAACATCATCTGCTGTTCTGAGTGGAAAAATGGAACTCATGTTTACCAGCTGATTCTACTTTCTTGTTTACTAGATGACTTTTAAAGATTGCAATAAAAACATCATCTGTTGTTCTGAGTGGAAAAATTCTATGTAATTGATACATTTAAGAAATTTCCTTTAAAACAACACAGTTTTTATAAAAATCATGCTTTGAAAGCATGATAACCTTCCATTTCAATGAAACAATGTAAGAAAATATAAATGAGCAATAACATGTTTTTGTTTTTTTGTATTGATGTTTTATTTCTAAGGATTTGGAAAATCTACAGTTGTAAGAAATTAAATTTTGCCAAAATTTTCATTTTTGATAATGTTCCAAAACCTTAAAACACTGATTATATTCATTTTTTTGAAAAATTTGTTCTTTATAATGTTTAGTCTGATAATGAAATTTAATCATGCAATTTTCTTCAAGGACCTCATCAATTTAAGAAGTTAGTGCTAACTTTTTTATGTAAAAGAAGTTGGAGAAAGATGTCTTTGAGTCCATTGGGATTTATTTGTATAAATACTGAGGGATAGGCAATATTGAGTGGATATACAATATAAGGTATATTTGTTGCATACAGTAGTTGTTTCTGATTTTAATTTTTGTAGTATGGTATAAAATAAAAATACATTGGGAGGGAGACAATTTGCTGGTACAAAAATTGGTGGTATTGGGAGATATATCCCCTCTGTACCATACGGATTAAGGCCATGTTTGAGTCAATTATGAACAGTCACAAACAAAGCCTTTTTTAACCAGTAATTGAATTTAAACTAAACTTTTGAACGTTTTCAGCCTTCACCAAGGCCTGCTTCAGGTAACAAACTAAACTGGCTTCCAAATTGGACCATTAGAATGATGAAGCTCGACTTTAAAGTTTGTATATATCAAATTTCACATGTCTGATTGACTCTGTTTGAACAGATATTTCCGTGCATGTGCAATAGTCTCACCATCTTTAAAGTTAATACAGTTGCCTTTTAAGTTGGCTTTATAAATTTCCAAGACATCCATGTGATGAATATGGTCTATTTGAAAAGCCTGCCTAATTAATCTGGTGTTCTGGAAGTCCACATAAAATTCCAGGTTAGTGGCGTACATAGATAAGGCAGTGGTATGCCTGTTGTTTGTAAGGTTGAATTGAAGTTCACGTATCCTTTTATGAATTGAATGAATGGTTGAGCCAATATAAATGAAGTTCCTTTGGAATCTATCATCCTTAATTAAGGGGAATAGAGTATATTCCTGGGGCTCTGCTTAGATCTATTTTATCTTTTTCATTGTGTAGCCGCTTGTAAATTGTGCCAGATCTCCTGTATGCAATTTCTGTGCCATTCTGGTTTGCAATTTCCTTTGTATACGGCAGTGTTTTTCAACCTTCTTGAATACGCGACCCCTTTACAAGTTAAAAAATTCTGGCGACCCCCCAGGGCCATATTAAAACTATATCAGTGATTCTAAAAACTACGTATTTAATTTTCTTTCTTTAAATATCGATCGAAAAACCAATTGTACTGTAAAATAAACAGGCACAGCCTTCTCACTGAAATTCTAGATTTTTTTATTGTAGTGTAGGACCTACAAACACTTGTCTTTTTCTTTCACCCGCGACCCCCCGTGTAAGGCTTTGGGACCCCCTTGGGGGTCGCAACCCACAGGTTGAAAAACACTGGTATAAGGAGTTCAAATGTTGATTGAACTGAACTACAGTGCACTTATAGCCTGTGATGCATTGTTGGCTTCTGTTAGAAGTAGTCTATGTGTTAGAAATGCTGCATGGGGCAAGTTGGTTGGCATAGGCATGTGTTAAACTACAAACCATTTTTCTTCTGTAGCCGTGTTCAATCGCTATATCTTCTATACGTTGTAGCTCAAGCAGAGTGCTGTGCCTATTGTTGTGATGAGTAAAGGCCCGTCTGATTAGGGCACGGAAGGCTGCAATTTTATATTAAAAGGGGTCAGACGAGTTTGCAGAGATAAATAGTGGTATGTGGCCCGTTTTGTTGTAAATGCTCATTTCCGTTTTGCCACAATTGAAATGCATGTTGACATCTAAGAAATGAGTGTTAGAGTTACTAATTTGATCTAGCTTAACGAGTTGTTCATGCATGTTAAAAACTCATCAACATTTGGTTTAGTTTTCCAAAGGATAAACAGGTCATCTACATATCTCCTGTAAACCACGATGTTTGGTAAAAACTTGGGTAAGACCTTGTCTTCTAACTGTCAAAGGTCTCCCGTTTTTGTAAGTATGTGCTGTTATTAAACTGAAAAACAGAGGTATAGCACATGAGTTGTGCTAGTTCCAAAATCTGCTTACGATGCTGATGGGCTCCATTCTCTCTAAGAAGAAGGTCCCTAAGTGCGCAGAAGCATGGTTGCAGCTGAATCAAAGGGAAAAGAAATATGAAATCAAAAACAGTGATGTGGGGATCATTACCTACCTCAATTTGCTGCAGAATATCAATCAAATCAGTGGATTTAAATTTTAATTTTAATGATTTTTCCTAAATCCAGTGCAAGTTAGATCCAGAGAATAAAAATAAAGATGTATTTTACTAATACCAAACCTGAAAATCCATTATCTTAATAAAAACAATAATGAACTTTCCTGTAACTACAAATATATAATTTTATTGTTTGAATTAAAAATCTGAACATATTCAATATAAACAAAATTATTTTTGATTCTTGAATTTATGCATTAAAAATGTTTTTTGTTCTAGTTATAAAAAATAAATTTTAATTTTAATCTTACATATTAAAATAATTTATCATATCAATATGATGACAATTATACAATATTTACATTTTCTTGAAAATGTTGAGTATACATTCCATGTATTAAATGCATAGCAAAGGTTAATCGATCAGTTTTGAATAATGAACGGCACACATATTCATAAACTAGATGTTGAAGAGATTGGATTAATCCTTTCATTCTATCTTCTGGACTGTTACTTATCTGCACAAGAAATTAAACAAAATGAATGATTTTCTCAAATTAAAAAAATTTTGATTAAATTCAGAATACTGACTGTTTTAAGAAATACATTATATGATTATTTGAAGTTTTTATATGTATTCTTTTAACTTTAACTTTAATATATTGTAAAAGTAATAATCAATATTTATACTTAATTTTCAAGAATTAATATGAATTACTACATATTTACAGTAGATCCCCCTATAAAAGCGTTTCCTATAGTTATGATTCCTATAAAAATTGTGGCATTATCCGTAAACAACGGTAAAAATAACTCCTATAATACGTAAAACGTCATCGGGCAGCCGAACTACTTACCCGCCGTCCGTAGCGCCACGCTACGGAGAGATTTCTATCGTCTGGACAGTATTATATAAATTATATATAAATTAGGTACTGTACATATAATTATATATTAATTATATATAAATTAGGTACTGTATATATAATTATATATTAACTTAATTTATTGTAACTTTATTATAATTAAATATATATTTTTCGCCGTCTAGCGTCACGCTACGGCGAGTTAGGCGACCTATCGTCTGTTTAGTACTGTAATTTTATACATTTCTTGTGAAAGAAACATTTCTTATTTAACGGCCATAAAAATTATTTATATTAATGATGTCTCCAAAGGTCAACGAAGTTTTCGCAGAAAAATAATATCAGAAATCGCGGCCGCAATTTGATGCGCTGTTCCGCGACGAAACCAAGCTTTAGCAACGAGCGTAGTCAAAGGGTACACACTCGGTAAGTAATCCTACAATTTTTTGTTTATAACGTAGTTTATACGGATTATTTTAAAAAAAATATACGTATTTTGGAAATGTTGAGTCGAATTAGTCTAGAATCGATTAATTTTATGAAAGAAAACCTTTCAAACAGCCGTAGTCCGTAAACTATGATTCCTACAAAATTGATTCATAAAGAACGGAACGTATCTACCGTCTTATAGGGGGATCTACTGTAATTATAATGTTTCATTAGAATTAAATTTATGGAATTTAAATTAAAAATTATCCAACTTAAGCTTATTTTATTTAAATCTTTACTTACCTTATCAGTTGCAAGAGCTTGATTAAATAATTTAAAGAATGTAGATAAACTAAAATCATACATATTATTCAGTTTAATAAGTTCAGTTATTACAAAATATAAATTGCTACCAAACTGAGCCAATGGTAAATAAACTTTTCTTTCCTAAAATAGAAATTAGAATAAAATTTAAAATTACAAAATACATATTTTATATAAATATATTGTTGATAAATTCTTTATAAAGAATTAAAAAATAAAATATTTATATCTGATATATTTTATATTCAAATTTATTAATGTATTTTGGAATTTATACAGCTACAAGGGGGATACAATAATTAAAACAGTACAAACAAAAGTTGAACTTAAATAAAATATAATTCCTATGATGTTGGAAATTTTTCCGTAATATTTAAATACACAGTATTAAGTTAGTAAATTCAGACTTGAAGCTTGATTTCTATTTTACCACTGACTGTAGACCTCTGACAACTTAATATATTTATTTAAAAAACTGTATACTCTGGTTATCATAATTGGACCCATTTGAAATGATTTGTGATAGAATTCTTCTATAGATTTGCACCTGGTCAAAGTAGAAATACCAAATTGATCTCTAAAATTTATACATCCATTATATGAACAAATTAGATGGTACATAGAAAATTGATCTTGACAACTGCATTGGCTGTACTGAATGCCTAAATAATTTCCGTCAACTATTACATAGAAACTATTTAATCTAAGCTGCATGTAAAACCCTTTTATCTTAAATGGGATTTGAAAGTTAACATAATCACTCAAAGGAGGAAAGTTTAAATTGTTAATATACCACAAATGAAATTTGGAATTCTGTAATTTTTTCATTTCTTGGTCAGTGGAGTTATTAAACATATTTTCAGCTAAAGTAGTGAAACTGGAGTTCCAATTGACTTCTGTATTGTTAAATAATATATGTGATATCCCATATCTAACCAACATGAGACAAAATTTATTATACCAATTATTTGTGTAATTCCTTTTATCCTCAGCTAATCTTTTAAGTACATTCAATATAGTATTTATCAGCATATTTTCACTGTTGGCCATTCTCTTATAAAACTTCATAATCCTTATTACCATATAAGGCTCCAATTGTAATCTATTACTATCATGAAAAATTGCATAACCAAGTACTGCCCTGTCCAGGCAATAAATCTTTCTTATGTATAATAATTGGATTTTCTTGAAGTGAGATAGCCAATCCATGCCCCATACTGGGCAAGCATAGCATATCAAATTTATGACTATTGATGAAAAGAGCTGAAATTGTTTTTGTATAGAATTAGTTTTCATTTCAACTAGTAAATAAATTAAATTATTTATTATTCTATTTGTTTTATTTTGAACTTGTTGGACATGTTTTCCAAAAGATAGTGTTGAAGTAAAGTGAATTCCTAAGTATGAAATTTCTTCAACTACTTTCAATTTGTCATTTAGAAGGTAAAAATCATGATCCTGTTTAGCCATTTTTCCTCCTCTTTGAAATATAAGAATAAGTGTTTTATTTGGGTTAATCTTCATTTCCATCTAAGAAAAATATTTGCATCTGATTTAATTTTCTTTATAGACCAATTTTAGTGGTCGAAAGCAATATTACATCATCCGCATATTGTATTGAATGAACTGTCTGATTTCTCACTAGAATTCCATTTTCTCTATTAAATTGTTTATCAATATCATGGATCATGATATTAAATAAATAAGGTGATAATGGGTCACCTTGTAAAAGACCTCCGCATATGTCAAAAGGAGGATAAGTATTCTTTCCACTTTAAATTGTGACTAGGTAATGACCAAATAAAGATTTTATAGCTTTTATAAATAATGAATCTGCGCCATGTATTTTCAATTTTACACATAGTTTTTCTATTGATATTGAATCAAAGGCCTTTTCCAGATCTAAAAAAGCTGCATAGACTTTGTGTCTTTTTCTAGAAAGATGAATTTGAATAATTGATAGCAATACAAAAATTGCAACTTCTAATCCACTCCTCTTAACAAGTGCAAATTGTGAATTTGAGATCAAAGAATTCTCTCTCGTCCGTTGATCAAACCTAATCGTAAGAATTAATGTAAAAGATTTTTCTTAATGTAGACAAAATAGCAATGGGTCTATAATTACTGTGACTTGACCTGTCACCCCTTTTAAATATCATCTGAAAATATGCAGAGCACCACAATTCAGGAAAAACACCATGTTCATATATATAGTTGTAACTAATTGCCAAAGCTTCTGTCGCTTCAATTGGTATTCATTTAAAAAACTGACTGGCATTAAATCAGGTCCAACAGCAGTCGATTCTGTTAGTTTATTAATATTACTTATAATTTCAGAGGCCTGTATTGGTAGATTCATCACCATCTTCTCACCATACATTACAATTACATCTATTTCTAGTGAACGACTTGATATATCCAATTTCCTCACCTTGAAAAAACAAACCATTTGACAAAACCAATATGCTCCTGCTTTTCAACCATAGTCCCAGGATGATATTTTTTATCAACGACCAGAAGAATGTGTTATTCTTGTCTATTAATAGCTTTTTGTTTAACAAATTAAAATATCTTCTCTGCCTTTATAAGATTATCATATCTTTATTTTGCACAACTATATTCAACTAATTCCCTTAATCTATTTTTACGAAATGATGCCAAAGTGTATTCTTTGAGTTTCTTAGCCCTATAACAGTCCAGATTGAATCACTCTTGTTTAAACTTAGATATCATTTTGTTTAAATATTTAATTCTATGTGGGCTAAATTCAATAATATAGTCATTGAAAATTTTGCTTAATATATTATAAATTTCACTAAAATCCACCTTTTTGGAATAATTTTATTCTCTTGCCTATTTCAGCCTCAAATTTTTTAATGTTATATTTATATTTCTTTGTTTGTAAATTGCCTCCTTATCTTCTCTTTAAAAATTGGTAAATTTGTACTTGATGTAATAGTTAACTGTATTGGAAAGTGATCTGATAAGTCATTATCAAGTACCTTGAATCTAACACAGTGGTCCAATATGAATTCAGAGCATAAAATATAGCCAATCACCGATGCACCTTTCGTCAAGATATAGGTATGTCTACCTGGCTAATCCTCTATCATACAGCCATTCAAAATAAAAAAATCATAACTTTTAGCAAATTTAATTAGTAGTTTTCCTTTCTTGTTGATTCCTGTATCATGACTTTTTCTTATATTATAAATCACCTGATTATTCTCATTATAATTAGAATCACATTCATTTCCAATTTTGGCATTGAAATCCCCAAGAATTAACCACAACGAGGTAAAGTGTGACCAGTTCAAGAAAATTATCTCAATTTCCTGAAATGGGCCTTGGAGTGTATCATAGGGAGGGGTATAATTAACAATTATTGCCAAATGTCCATTGGGGTACTTGTTAAAATTATGATTTTCCAATTTAACCATTACAAATATTAGGTATGCACTCCAATAGGAATATACCAGATTTCCCAAGGATTTGTTTATTAGCAACATAATTCATCCCTTCAGCCTACCAACTCCCAGTTTTTTTATAACTGGAACCAAAATATAATTAAATGATGCTTGTAGGAGGTGTATCTCCTTTATAGTTAGTTTAGTAATCCAAGTCTCTTCCAGTCCTATAATTTCCAATAAACTTCCAGTCCTATAATATAATTTCATATGTCTCTAGCAGTTTTTAAAATAATTAGAAGAAAATTTATTTCTAATACCTTGTGTATTCCAATTAATGACCTTAATCGTAAAATCTTTGTCTAATCTTATTTCTATTGTTGTTTGTTGTTTACATTGGCATTCACAATACTAAATAAATTAGTCAATTGATTTCTACATCTAAAAAAGATCTAGTATTGACCAAGCAATTCTTTATAAAGCTATAAGTAATTTTCTTATTCTTATAAATAACATAGTCATTTCTTAATGTAATTTGCATACCTTTTTTCGTTGCTTCAATATAAAATGGAAGAATTTTAGCTCTACGATCCCTAGTCTCCTGAGTGAGATCAGGAAATAATCACAAATTACTATAATTCTCAACACAGGAGACTTTTTGTAGTTGTAAAAGACTGATACTATTTAATTTTTCCTTTGAATAGTACTTAAAGTAATTTTTAGGATCGTGGGCTCTTCCTTTCTTATAAGTACTTGTAATTTCCTCCACCTTGAGTTCTGTCAACTTCAACATCTCCCTAAAGAAATCTATTAAGCTTTCTTTTAATATTCATATTATCATTCATTGGGTAGCCAAATAACATCAAATTAAGTTGATTAGTTATATTTAAGATATTATTTGCCATATACTGTTGAGCTTTCAATTGCCTGTCTAAATCAGGTAATACTATTTCTAATTTATTAACCTTCTGTTCCAAAGAACCAAGCTTAATCTTAAAATCCTTATTATCCTGATGTATCGAGCTAATTTCTGTTTTCACTTCCATAATTTGTTCGATTATAGAACTATGTGAGGTCTGAATTATTGATAGTTTTGACAACTGTCATAAATTAGCTGTGGTTGGGCTATCATCCTTCTCCATCAACTCAAAACAACCTAATAACATAGATTCAAAATTATTTTCCCTGTCTTCTTCATAAACTTTTTCACTCCTCTCTATATCCTTAGAAGTCACAGATTGTTTACGGACCATAGTTTTCACATTGGCTGATTTAGACACCTTAACTGCATTACTACTTCTGGTCAATGGAGGGTGTCCTCTCTTCAACTGAGAATGAAATAAAGGCCCAGGGTTTTGTTCATTTCTGGCCAAAATGAGTAAAATCCATATAATTATTAATAAATATGCCTGAGACCACCACAAATTCATCATTAAATAATCCTTCTTCTTTCTCAAGATAAACTCAATCAAAATTCATGTCAATAACATTCAACGCCTAAAGTGCCCCTGATATATTTTATATTGATAAAGTAGTTATTCAAAACAATTTCAATTGCTGTATCAAGAAAATCTTCCAATAAAAATTATTTGAGATATCAAAACAGAAACTTTTATTAATATATAAGAAACAGAAGAACAATAATTATAGGTTAATGTTTTCTATATGGGTTACTTCCTGTATATTAATAAATATATAATAATAGTAATACCATATATTGATGATTATAGACTAATAATAAATAAAGGCTTATTTTTTCATTTTTGGTCTAATTTTATAAAAGTTTGAATTTTTATTTTATAAAAGAAGAAAGCATACTCAAAACATAAATTATACTTACTTCTTCTAAAGATAGCTGAAGTTGCTGAGATTCTTTTAAAGCTGAAGATATATTTAAACTACTTGATTTTGTATTATTTAAAGATGCAATTAACTCTTTATTTTCCAAAATATTGCCTTGAGCTGATGCTAACTGTTCTAACAATGATTCTTCTAATTTTGTTAGTTGTAATTTTAATTCTTCCTCTTGTTCTAATAATTGCATTCTTCTTTGTTCTAATTCTGGTTTTTCATGCTGTAAAACTGCAGCTAATAACTGCAATGAAACAAAATTTATATATAATTGTATATTAATTATTATAATAAAATATATCAATGATAATTCAATAAAAAATTTATAAATAGTAGTAATAATTTAATTAATAATTCTGTAGGAATGGGAATACAAAATAGTTTTTAAAGAAATATTATTAAATTTGTACTGAAAAATGTAAATTAATGCTAAATATAAAAGAATTGATTAGATGAAATTTGTTTAATATCGTTACATAAATGATGATAAATTCAAATTGTGGAGATGTGCACAAGATTGGTTCTCTCTTGGTTTATAGAACTGTGGCAATAATTTTTTTTTTAAATGAAATTTAAATTTATTGTTTTAGTAATTGCTGTTCAAATGCTAGATACTGATTTAGAAATCGACATATATGCAGAATATGTGGTATTGTATTTAATTTTGTGGAAACATTTCACTCCTTTTATTTTTATTTAAAAAGAAATGTTTGTGGAATTACAGCCTTTTATTACTAAGTTTTTAAAATTTTTAAACATTTTTTGTTTTAATCCTTTTTATAATTGCTACCATTTTTCTTTTTTAATTTGTAGACTGAGTAATATCTTTTCTTAAGAGAACATTTCAAAATGCATATTGTGAAATAAAAGTTATTTTGCTGTCATGCTTTTTTGCATAAAAACAAAGAAGAAAAAAAACAGTAGTGTTGAGAATTATACTAGTTACAACATATCAGATATAATATAATGTTTTTATTTAATTAGTTAATAATCTAACTGTATACTTCATCATCTTATTAAATTATACATAACTAAACTATAGTGCAGAAAGCATTCTATTTATCATCATTTATAAATTCTTATATATTTTATTATGATATCTTATCATTTTAAAGTCATTAAAATCTGCTTTATAAGGATGCATGACAAGTTTTCTCTCACTGTATTTTCGTGGAATGACTGGCATGTCAGTCTGTCTGAGGAGACCATGAAATCAGATATTTCCATACGGTAAAAATTGGCATGCCAGTTTATCCCAGGGGAATGCCATACATGCCAGGCTAAGTGAGACCATACATCCCTCTCTAGAGAGCAAATTAAAAAAACGAACACATTATGTCACATAAAAACAAATGAGTTTTTATTCTAAAACTGTGAAACAGTCAGCATTACATCAAAAACTATGATCATATGTGTAATTTCTTCATTTTGCATCTTTTTAACAAAGTAAAATAATTGTGGAATTTTAAAAAAGCTTTTTTTATGTGTAGGCCTACTTTATTGTTATTTGATTCAAAAATGCAAAAATAAACATTAAATTTAAGGAACTCTCTGTAAATGGGAGGAAGGTATTATTTTTAAGGTCAGGGTAAATGGTCAGTGTAGCCTACACTGACTAACTATTACTACTAATAATGTCAATAAGGCTAGGACTCCACTACAGTAAAAACCCCTCGCCGTAAAAGCTTTTAATCACGTGACCCTAATATCTTACGCTTGAGCAGGCCGTAAAACCAGCGTAAAAGCGAGTTGAGCTATGTTCAACTTTTGACACGGATACGACTGTAAAACGGTACCTTCAACCAATCAGAAGTCAGTGGATCTACGTCATCGTGACATCGTGCGAAAATTGCGGGAAACGAGCTTTTGTTTACGTTTTATCATGGCTACTTCGAAACGACCAAGAATTGATTTGGAGAAATTTATAGAAAATATTCGCAAATANGTTCTGAGTGGAAAAATGGAACTCATGTTTACCAGCTGATTCTACTTTCTTGTTTACTAGATGACTTTTAAAGATTGCAATAAAAACATCATCTGTTGTTCTGAGTGGAAAAATTCTATGTAATTGATACATTTAAGAAATTTCCTTTAAAACAACACAGTTTTTATAAAAATCATGCTTTGAAAGCATGATAACCTTCCATTTCAATGAAACAATGTAAGAAAATATAAATGAGCAATAACATGTTTTTGTTTTTTTGTATTGATGTTTTATTTCTAAGGATTTGGAAAATCTACAGTTGTAAGAAATTAAATTTTGCCAAAATTTTCATTTTTGATAATGTTCCAAAACCTTAAAACACTGATTATATTCATTTTTTTGAAAAATTTGTTCTTTATAATGTTTAGTCTGATAATGAAATTTAATCATGCAATTTTCTTCAAGGACCTCATCAATTTAAGAAGTTAGTGCTAACTTTTTTATGTAAAAGAAGTTGGAGAAAGATGTCTTTGAGTCCATTGGGATTTATTTGTATAAATACTGAGGGATAGGCAATATTGAGTGGATATACAATATAAGGTATATTTGTTGCATACAGTAGTTGTTTCTGATTTTAATTTTTGTAGTATGGTATAAAATAAAAATACATTGGGAGGGAGACAATTTGCTGGTACAAAAATTGGTGGTATTGGGAGATATATCCCCTCTGTACCATACGGATTAAGGCCATGTTTGAGTCAATTATGAACAGTCACAAACAAAGCCTTTTTTAACCAGTAATTGAATTTAAACTAAACTTTTGAACGTTTTCAGCCTTCACCAAGGCCTGCTTCAGGTAACAAACTAAACTGGCTTCCAAATTGGACCATTAGAATGATGAAGCTCGACTTTAAAGTTTGTATATATCAAATTTCACATGTCTGATTGACTCTGTTTGAACAGATATTTCCGTGCATGTGCAATAGTCTCACCATCTTTAAAGTTAATACAGTTGCCTTTTAAGTTGGCTTTATAAATTTCCAAGACATCCATGTGATGAATATGGTCTATTTGAAAAGCCTGCCTAATTAATCTGGTGTTCTGGAAGTCCACATAAAATTCCAGGTTAGTGGCGTACATAGATAAGGCAGTGGTATGCCTGTTGTTTGTAAGGTTGAATTGAAGTTCACGTATCCTTTTATGAATTGAATGAATGGTTGAGCCAATATAAATGAAGTTCCTTTGGAATCTATCATCCTTAATTAAGGGGAATAGAGTATATTCCTGGGGCTCTGCTTAGATCTATTTTATCTTTTTCATTGTGTAGCCGCTTGTAAATTGTGCCAGATCTCCTGTATGCAATTTCTGTGCCATTCTGGTTTGCAATTTCCTTTGTATACGGCAGTGTTTTTCAACCTTCTTGAATACGCGACCCCTTTACAAGTTAAAAAATTCTGGCGACCCCCCAGGGCCATATTAAAACTATATCAGTGATTCTAAAAACTACGTATTTAATTTTCTTTCTTTAAATATCGATCGAAAAACCAATTGTACTGTAAAATAAACAGGCACAGCCTTCTCACTGANATTTTCCACTCATTGTAATAACACTTCAAAGAGATCAGGTGTCATTCTTAAAAAACTGTCAACAAAATTCACGTTACTACTAATAAAACTTTTATGCATTATAAGATTTTGCTATAATTTTAATTTATTACTTACTCATAATAATATTCCTGGTCTTGAAAACGAAGTTCACGCATAAGTGTATTGTGATAGCCTAAGGAACTTCTATTCCGAAATAAAGGCCTCACCCAAAAACAATGCTTGCGTTGCTTTCGTTTCATGAGTGCAGAAAGCAACAAAAATTGTCCAGAAAAAAGTTGAAACATCATATCAGCTTGTATCTGATCCATTTTAAATTTTTTATGCACTGACAATTGTGAACAACCAAACTACAATGCTCTCGTTTTCACCAATTCACGTGCGAAGAAGTATTTACGTTCGACACTTGGGGCAGCACCGTCACCGTAAAAACTTTGCGCTAGCCGGACCTCCACCGTAATCCGAGCGCAAACGCAAATAGGTCACGTGATTAAAAGCTTTTACGGCGAGGGGTTTTTACGCCGTTTTTACGGTAGTGGAGTCCTAGCCTAAGTCATTAATTGTTTTATTATCTTGCAAACAAAAACTCTCTTCCTGAGTTTAAGTTGGTCAAATTACAATGCTATTATTTTATTGTATTTGGAAGAAAGTTTTCTTTAACATTTAATTAACAATTATTTTTGTTAGATCTGATTAATTAATTTTATATTTTAGTTGCAGATTAACTGGCATGCCAGTAAACCATGGATTTCCAGCATGCTGGTCATTCCATGAAAATATGGTAAAATAACAATACAGTAAGACCCCGCTTAATGTTGCCTCGCTTAACACTGATTCGATATAACGTGGTCAGGGCCCGCTCTAGGTCGGACAACCCAGACATTTGTCCAGGACTCCAAAGTTTAGGGGTGCAATTTTGGCTGTATGTGTGAGGAAAATATTGATGTGTTAAATACTCAATTAATAGAAAATTTCATGTATAGATTTTTTTCATTCTCTAAAAATTTACAGTGCGTATCATATTTATATTGTTTATGTCTAAAGCTAAAAATATTTACACTATTATTGAAAAATAAATGCAGAATTTGTAAAGGACGATGCTTGAACTTGTTTAAACATGCATATACTTCTCTGAACAGAATAGGATTAGCACGCGAGCAGAGCGCTGCTTCAGCTTGTGTTTGAATATGCATATACTTGCTTATACTTACCTCTAATTATAAAAGAGCAGTTTCATTACACAATAGCATTATTCTTGCTATTACGTTGGTAGTGATAACAAGTGAAAATTTTACTTAAGTGTGATTTCTTAATTTTTAAAGATAAATAGGCTACATCTATAATTAAGCTGTTGTTTAGTTTGATAGATACTAGTTTATCATAAATCGATTATCGAATCGAAACAATGAAAGCGTTTTTAAATAAAATAATTATTTAATTTATCCAAAAGGGCTGTTTACTGTATTAAATCACATTCAAATTTAATACAATATTTTATTATTCTATAGGTATAATTATTTATATTTTTGTTTTATGAAAATAATTATTTGAAAATAAATGTCTTATATTATTGAATCAATAATAATAAATGTCTTATATTATTGATTCAATAATATAAGACATTTATTAAGTTCATTGTTTCGATAAAATGCGTTTTATAATAATATATTTGAATAATTGAACTGAATAAAATCTCAAAATCCTCAAAATTATAA